TTTTCATGCATCAGATGTGTGTTATTTTGAGAAAAAGCTGGTCCTTAGTAGTCTTTGAAATGTCTTCCAACTTGATCATTCACCGGCCTCACATTACAGTGTTCCTCGGTGTCTGTTGTCTCAGTGACAGTTGTAGACCCACCATACCTAGGAAACGCTCATGTGTGCAGCTCTTCTTCCCTTTAAGGAAATGGGTATCTAAACATTTCACCTGCCAGTCTCTGAAGCATCTTCCCAGCTAAAGCTGTGCATCCTGCCTGCCACCTCAGTCCCCACTGGCCTCCCTCTTCCTTCCCTTTCTTCTCAGTAGAATACTGCCTCTCACCTTTATCATCCTTTAACAATTTGAAGTTACAGATACAAATATCTGTGTTATCCTGGATTGGTTGGCAGGGCCCCTGCTCTCATGAAGACTCAAAAGAAAACCTACCCTTTCCCTGATTTTTTCCCCCATAGGATGTCACCTATTGTAAGTAGCCCCCTATAAAGTGCTCCTTCCTTGGCCCCTGCCAGCTCCAGAAGCACTTTTTTACCTCCTTTTTGTCATCACATCTCTGGCTCTATTTTGTGAGAAGATTGAAGCACAGGAAAGCTGTGACTTGTTCTATAGCACCTAGCCTATCCGTGGCAGTCTAGATTGAAACTTGATCCCGTATACTTAGCCACTGTCTTTAAAACACCAGGTGGCTACAGGGACCGGGTGGCCAAGGAAACTGAAGTACAGTGAAGTAGCAGCGTTGGACAGTTGTCCCTTGCTATATTGCAGTTCACTTATTGCTACTTCCCAGATTTTCACCTATTGCGAGGGTCTCTGGACTGTAACCCCTGCAATAGGTGAAGGATCACTGTTTAATTTGTTGTTTTTTTTTTAAACCTGTGATACAGTGAAGCCACAATATGTGAAGCACAAGATAGCAAGGGACGAGTGTAGGCCCTTTAACCCAGCTGCCTGCTCCTGGGATGCTATGTGCATGTTCTGGGTCAGTGTACCCACTTGACAGTTATGTGGGACTTTGACATTGTGGGTGAGGTCTAGAGTTTAACCTCAGGCACAGTCTTTGGCTTTAAGAACAGAGGCACAGAAAGGAGAAAGTCCTCTTGCCCCTCCCGTTTGTCACATTGCAGGCAGCCAGACTTCTTGGAGTAAGCTACCTTGATGTACAGAGCCCTGGCCAGGAAGCAGGAGCACCAGGTCAGGTCACCTGCCCGTACTCACTGTGCACTTCCTTCTTTGAACTCAGCATCCCCTTACCAAAATGACTAGCCCAGCTGCTCCTGAGGCAGTTACACCCGCAGCTCAGGGTCTGAGTTCTCAGTTGTTCCAGAATCCGAATCAACCCTCTCCTTGGGGCCCCAGGAGCTCGTCCAAGGACAGGGTTCTAGCCAGGTGGAGCCAGGCGGTGGTGGCAGTACAGTCCTGCTTGTTAGGCCAGCAGAAGTTGCCTTGGTTCTGGGGTAGTGGCCTTGCTCACAGGATGGTGGTGATGTACTTACACAGACCTAGGAACAAGGACCCACACACAGGTCAACGGGTGCTCATGTTTTCCAGCTCAGTTCACATGAACGCAGCTACTAAGTGTGAAGAGCAGCAATCAGTAGGGAAACAAAAGCAGGGAGAAGGAAGGGACTTGGGAGACCAGGTCTGTCCTAGCTCAGCCTCTGTGAGGCCAGGGCTGAAGCTGGAGGACAGCTTGAGGAATGGGATAAGCACAGCTGGCACAGACAGCTGCTGTCCTGGAGCCTGAGACAAGGCCTATGCCATCTCCACCAGCCCCATACTCTCCTGCTGGGCCATTCTGCTCTTCACCTTCAGACTCCAGTATCCAAACTATAGAGCCTTGATCTGCCTGAGTAAGGTCTGGAAGGTTGGAAATAGGGCTGGTTCCCATGCTTCCTGCTGCCCTCACTCACCTCCCTCTGCACACTTCCTGGTGCTCATCAGGTTGAGCAGGCAATTTGATGGCGTTTTATTTTCAGCAGAGTTTTGCTTGGTAGCAAATGATCTCACTACACAAACACACCAACAAAACAAACCCTTCCCCTCTCCAAGTCTGTTCTTTTTGCTCCTGCATGAAGGACAGGACTACAGGTCCCCTGCTCCTAGCCAAGCCATCTCTTCCACTGATGGCACTTCTTGGAAGGTGCTGTGGCCATGGTGTCTCGAGGGCCAGTCCTGAGGCCCATCACTGCTCTGGCTACGGTAGACCATGATACTGTCTGGGATCAGGACACAGGCCGAACAGGATGGGGGACACTGGTGAAAGGTTAACCATTGGGCTGATGTGCATGGAAGCTAGAGGGATTAAGGTCTACACGGATCAGGAGCCCATCCTCCGTTCCCAGGCTGGCCAACAGGGCCCACTTGGCCTCCCAGGCACCTGCTCCCATTCCTCTTTCAACACACACACACACACACACATATGTACATATTTGGGGGAGGGGAAGGTGGGGAGAAAGGAGAAGGGAAATAAGACAGATGAGAAATGAGAGAAGGAAATAGACATGGGAGGAGAGGGGAAAGGAGAGCGAGGGAGATGGAGAGGAGCACAGCAAAGAGGAGATAGAGGAATAGGGGAGGGGGAGGAGGAGAGGGGGAAGAGTAGGGAGGTGGAGAGAGAAAAAGAACAAGGAGAGAGGCTAGAGAGGCAAGAATAGAGACCAAGGAGCTGACTTACAAAGGCAGTGGAGACTAGGCATGCTCTTTCCTATCTTACACAACTGTGGTGGGCCCCGATCTTCATACACTGCTTGGCAGGATAAGCAGTTGCTAGGTCAGCCCATCTGGCCTGGGTCTGGAACAGCTGGGTAGGAGCCATCTTTGTCTCAGCACCACTGGGTGACAAAGATTGCTAACATGCCCACACAGCATGGGTGTATACTGGCTGGCCAATGGAGGAAGTAATAGGAGTCCTCAGGCAAATTTCCTTATTAGGGGGTGACAGGGTTGATAGCGAAGCAGAAGGCAAGGAGCATCTCAGTGCAGCAGGTGCCAGAGATCCTATGTCCCCAGCCTTATTCCCAGGGGCAGTTAGTCATCCAGAGGATAGCATTCTGAGACTTCATTTCTGGGCTCCACAGCCTGTGGTTAGAGAAATGAGGAAGTCTTTCTTAAGAGCTTTCTCCTGGGCCAGTCACTTCCTGCTTTGGATAACTTGTGGGGGAACCTGCAGACCCCACCTGCCCAACTTCTGTAGGGGAGGGCAGGCTTGGCCCCAGTGGATTAAAGGGGGGAAATCATAGGGCTTTGGAAGACTGCCCTTCCTCCCAGAAATAAGTGCCTCAGTTTCTAAGTGCTATACCGATACTCACTTGTCTCAGTTGACAGCCTATTATTCCTCTCCTCTATTGGCAGCCTCAGAGGGATGAGCTCCGAGTCCCTAGTTTCCCAGGTTTCTAAGCACATGACATGACATGTGCCCCATCAATGATGCCTTTGGCTGAGCTGGAGGAGAAAGGAAGCAGGTCTGCTAAGGTTCAGGTGGAAGGGAAAGCCCTGTTCCTGGGGCTGGAGAGGATGACAAGATGGATGTCTAGCACTGGTGAGCACCCCAGTAAGTGATTGCTGGAGACTAGGAGCCTCTCCCAGCAGGATCTGGCTTGAGGCCTGGCAAAAGCCTGCACATGAATCAAGCAGGTTATTTCTAGAGCTGGCAAGGGAGCCAGTCCCCTGGGTTACAGAGAGGTTACTCTCTGTTGAGAGCTGCACATGCAGGACAGGAGATGGGGACATGGGCAGATCATCTAGGCAGAGCCAGTGACACTGCCGAGGGCTTTCCTGCTGCCAACGGCAGAGCAGCCTCTGCTAGCTGGGCGTAGCCCCCACAGTCCTGTGCTCCTCCTGATTCTGTTTCTAGCCCAGCTGGGCCTGAGAAGGACTGGCTTGCCAGAGACTAGCATGTCCTAAGTGTGGAGTTCCTTTCCAACATGGCTGCTGGTGTTATCTCAGGGTTCTTGGAGGGACAACATGGGGCACATACCTTACAAAGCCCCAGAATAGAATAGGCCAGCCTCTCCCTTTTGACCAGGCTTCCATGATGGTGACAAGTCACCTCTCCCAGAACCCTCTGCTTCTGTTGCTGGCTTAAATCTGTGCCAGAGAAGGGAAGGACAATCCCTGAAGAACAGGGGTTACCAATACAAGGGGAGGACTTGGGGAAGCTCCCTAGTAAGTCAGAGCATTTTAGCAACTCCAGAGAGGAGCTGCCAAGAGGCATAAAAATAGATCCCCAACACCAAAATAGAACTCCAAGACAGCTGGCAAAAGGACTGGTCTAATTTGTAAGATCTGTACATTCATGAGTTTTGCAAAACGGAGAAGTCCTTACTGCTTATGAGTTTGATGATGGTGGAGGTGGTTTTGAGGGGTTTTTTAAATGTTAACTACCAGCTATTTAGAATAAGTTCTCAGGGGATGCTTGCACAAGCCCCAATGGGGCAAGTGGTCTGTTACCTGTGGATCTGTTTTGCACTCAGATCTTTAACTCCATTCTCACAAGAGTGGAGGCCAGGTTCACAAAATACCACCATATAGGCTCTAGCCATCTGTCTCACTTGGCCATACTTTAGTCCCTGCTTGGTTTAATGCTTTGGGAGTTTGGGAGCACAGTTTACAATTACGTACAAAGCACTGAAAAAACAGGACTTAAAACCCCTTTTAAGACTGTAGGTCTTGCTTTCAGGCAATAATTTAGCTGTATCTGAAGAAGGTATGCCTGCCTTTCTCCCACCCCCATGTTCCTTATTTATTTTGGCTGCCTTGGCATTTCCTTAGTTGTTACTCCTGAGAGGTTGAGAGTGTTCTCTGTCTGGAATGATGGGAGGAAGCAAAGCAGCTGATGGACCAAGTCACCATCCTCCATTTTCAGCAATGGCAAGAACAAAAACCCAGACTGCTCAATGACTATTGTTGAAGCTGCCCTCCCCCCGCATTGACCAGGGATGCTGTGGGGACTGAGGTTTGCAGCATACCCTTCTCACTCTCCTTCCATTTCTCCCTGCAGTGTATGTGGTAGAAGACCAAAGAAGAGATGATCTGGGCCCATCCACCTGCCTCACAGCCTGCTGGACTGCTCTCTGTTGCTGCTGTCTCTGGGACATGCTCACCTGAGCAGGGCCCTCGTGCTCTGCTGGCTCTGCAGCCGCCTCAGTAGTGTGCCTGCCCCATCTCTTCTGACTGCTGTATTGATTAGCCCGTGCAGACACCTCCACTTTCAATACTATGGGATTTTAGATTAGTGAGGGTTGCTGCTGTTTAATTCGGTGACTGGTCTTTCTAGTGTTCAAAATCCATTTCTTATTGATCTTTAACAAATGTGCTAAATGACCTTCCTTTTATTTTTTGGCCAAAGGCTTAGTTATTAAATATATATATTTATAATTCTTAAATTATACATTTAAAATAGTGGCAAGATGTAACATACCACTGAATGATTTCTCTGCGTACACCCTGTATGTTTCAATAAATTTGTCAAAACTTCACTTGTCTGAATTATTGCAGATAGTCTGAACACCTAGGATTGCTCTGTCTCTTGGACTCTGTTACCTTTTGATTACTCTTCAGCAGGCTAGGGTTGGTTCATAGAATGTGGTTGTCTGGGTTGCATGCTGCTGTCCAGTGCACAAGGAGCCTCATTACTGTTTTGTTCTGGCCACATCCCAACAGTCTGGGTGTCCTTTAGCTCTGGACTCCTCCAAAATGGGCTCAACTTGATTTGGTCCGTGGCCTACAAAGGGGGACTTTTGGTGACTGGGCTGCCTCAGGCCTGCTCCCTGGAAGACTAAGCCCAGTTAAAAGGAGACAGCCCTGGCTGGGAAGATGGCTCAGTGGTAGAGCGCTTGCCTTGCATGCATGAGGCCCTAGGTTTGATTCCCCAGCACCACATAAGCAAAAAAAAAAGCCAGAAGTGGCGCTGTAGCTCAAGTGGTAGAGCGCTAGCCTTGAGCCGAAGACCTGAGGGACAGCGCCCAGGTCCAGAGTTCAGGCCCCACGACCGGACCCAAAAAAAGGAAACAGCCCAAAGGCTTCCTTTTTTCCCTTACTCATCAACTAAGCTACTCATCCCACCTTTGACCACAGGGTGGCGCTGAAATGCCACCAAGCAAGTCAAATTCTCCTAGCCTGGCTGGCAGTGGAGGCCTCAGTTCCCTGCTGGCACCTGCTTACCTTCTGCTCTACAAATCAATTATCAGTCCTTTAGCTTTAGAGGAAAAAAAGGCCATGATTTTTGAGTGTGTGGTGCTAAAGAGTGCTGCTTGCTACTGAACTAACTTTTGGCAAGTTTGGGAGGAAGAAGGGAATCTTGAGGCCACCAGCCATTGCCACTTTTCAATTCAGCCTTGAACCTAAGCAGTCTTTCTCCTCTTTGTACTACATGGGCTCCCAGAATGGGACAAGAAAGGGATTCAGAACTAGGAGATGCTGCTGCCTCTTACTTTATTCTTACTGGCTCAAGAAAAACAGACTTAGAATGGGACACAGCCTTTTATTGGTCTGACAGTTTACCTAGCAGCAGGCTCAAAGTTTCCTTATCTGCCCTGGACCCTGTCTTCCTTCTCCTGGGAGTTCCTGGCTCAACCCAGGCTCCAAGGATTTCCTAGGCAGAGGCAGGGAACATATACAGAGGGGGGACCCAAAAGAGATCCCAATATAGGGACAGTGGGGGTTTGAAGCCATTCAGATTAAAAGGTCCGTCTAGCCTGAGGGAGGACGTTACCCTGGCACAAGTCCCTCAGTTCTTGCCAGGATGAGAGGAATCAGGAGGGAAGAGCTTCTCTCAGATCTCCTATTGTGCCCTTCGTGCCATCAGCATCTCCCGGATGTTGTCCTCAGCTTCTTTAACACTGCGCTCCAGGTAGGACTTTTTCTGCTGCAATATGAGAACAAGAAGGGTTAGGACCAGGAAGAACAGGTGGGCTGGCAGATGCAGCCTTTATGGCCAAACACTATGATCACAATCTCTGGTCAAGACTTCTAGGCACATGCATGCCCACAGTGCTTCCCCCACCTGCACAGCAAGCAAGGGAGGAGATAGCCTGGGCAGGACACGGAGCTGCTCCCATGGAAGGCAGCAGCACTCTTTCCCCAGAAGGCTGTTGGCCCTAAAAAACAGGCGTCTGTCTATGTACAAGTTAGGCCAGACAGACAAAGGACAGGAAATTCCAGGACAGAGCTCCTGCTCTATTATGGACTGTCTCTTCTCAAGATTTTCCATGGCCGGGGCCAGGTGCCTGTACCTCCTGGTGCTGTAGGGGTACACTGCTCTGTCCAGCCAGTGGCTGCCCTGAGCACTCAGCATTGGACACACATCTCACTGCAGCAGATGAGTCGGGGGAGGGAAGGGGAAGAGACTGCTTTCCTAATGATACTGCTGCCTCCAGAAACCCAGGACAGTGACACACTGAGTAAAGCAGACCTTTTGGAAGTTTACTTCCTGACCCATCTGGGTCCTAAATTAAAAAATCTCAATTTACACAAAGATATTTAACTACTTTCAGAAGCCACATCTGGACTAGGATAATAAGAGATGAGTCAAAAGGAAATGATTTGTGTATATTCCTTGCCCTGTGCTCACCCCCGACGTATGGTGGCATTACCACGGGTCCCTGCCCTGAGGATGTAGTTATGTCTGTATTCCTACTTAGCAGACATGAAATGAAGGCTGGCTTGCAGCGGAATAACCCACACATCCTGAAGAAATACAACCATCCCCTCTCAGGGTGCATGTGACTGGGAGCCCACTGAAGCCAGTATGCAGAGCCCAGCCCAGGTGCCACCAGAACCCTTCTTTGCCCTCTAAGTGCCCACATGACCCAGAGAAGCCAGGGAAAGGCTAAGGAAGAGAGCATCACACATTACTGTGCTTCAGCCTGACAGGCCTTAGGCAGTCACTTTAGAGGACAGATGGAGATGAACAATTCCTCACAGCGTTCACTTGCATCAAACCTTCCTGATCCTCATCTCCATGTCCCTGCTTTTACCTTATCCCACTCTCTGGCAAGGTATCTATTAAATGATACATTCTGAGGCTTTTCCCTACAGTAGTTAAGACACAAATCTTACCAGTTCTTATATGAACCTCTGACTCTTGTCCATTATAACTTTGAATTTCCTTTCTGCTAAAATGCCCAGTCTACTCATCTCCCACCTGCCAACTTTCCCACACCCTTACAACACAACAGGATCTCTATACAACTCTCTGTGACTGTGGTAACAATTGAGTGATCACAAATGTATACTGTTGCTAAGGAATTTTGTTTAATTATACTGCTACACTGATACAGTCCTATCATTGTAATAGCAAAGCAAGAACTTGAACTTCCTTTGATAAACAACCCTAGAGTTTACTTGGGACTTAAAAAGAGGCACATACCAATAAATCCTGACACATCATTGAAGAATGCACACCTGGGTGTTGCACACAGGGAACAGCAGTCACACAGGAAGCGCCACGTACTCCTGGGCAACTCTGGGCCCAGCTCAGGACTGGAGAAAAAAAGGTTTTCCCTGCCATTGCAGTGCTCAGGGACTCTGGGGTCTGTTGCATTCAATCTCTGCTAATGTCACAGCTGGCAAAACTATAAACTTGAACATCAGCACAGACTTCTCTGCCCGACTACCCCAGGCCTCTGGACAAATTCAGGTTGTCATTCTCAGTTATAAAAATACTTTATTCCATACTGTAACATTCTTCCTTCTTTTACTTTCATGAATCGTACTACTTGTATATTCCTAAGGTCTTTAAGTTTCTAAAATAACAATTTAAATGAACTTAATGGGAAATTCTTTTTAGAAAATTAATCCCAAGAGACAGAGGCAACTCCTAGCATAGTGAGACCCATTTTCTAACTATTTCAATGGTGTCTCATCCACAAGCACATCTAAGCCCAGAAGATCCTCAAACTGAAACCAAAGCATGTTCTGTGAGGTAAACTGTCTCTCACCCCCACCCCCCCAAAAAACCACACAAACGCAAATCCTTGCTACAAGTTAACATGATCTTACTGGGAAAGAGGGTCTTCGTAGGTGTTAACCCTGTTAAAGTGAGGTCATCTTGAATTAGCGTGGACTCTGAGACCAGTGTTTCATGACCTTATAAGAAGGCCATGTGGAGACAGATACAGAGAAGGAAAATGCCATGTGTGGAAAGGAGCAGAAACTGAAGCAATTTCTCTGGAAGAGGTTAAGGATTCCTCCCAAGGAATTTCAGACAGAGCGTAGCCACGTATCACCTTGATTCTGGAGTCCTCTAACTTTCAGAACCATGATAGAAGACATTGCTGTGTGTTTTCTGTTTTGTTTTGGCCAGTCCTGGGGCTTGAACTCAGGGCCTGGGCACTGTCCCTGAGCTTCTTTTGCTCAAAGCTAGCACTCTACCACTTGAGTCACAGCACCACTTCCAGCTTTTTCTGTTTATGTGGTACTGAGGAATCAAACCCAGGGCTTCATGCATGCGAGGCAAGCACTCTATCACTCAGCCACATTCCCAGCCTGACAATGCTGTGTTTTAAATCATTGGCCTGTGGTAACTTGTTATACAGTTAGGAAATCAACAAAGGATTGTGTGTCTCTACACACAATCTCTCCCAAGGGTCTTCCAGACCCAAAGGACCCTATCCTGACTTAGCTCTCACCACACTGAGTTTCAGAGCCCTAGCCTAGATTAAGTGTCCCTAAAAGTTCATATGTTGGGATTATACTTATCCCAAAAAATCAATGTAGAAATGACAACTTGCTTTATGAAGGTTAAAATGTGCTTGTAACTTTAACTAAATATCACTATCCTACAATACTGTGAGATTTGTGAAATTTATATAATCATTTAATCTCAATGAAATTATAAAAAAAAATTAAATCAATGCAGAACTGGTTGAAACACAGATAAGGCTTTCAGAAAGTAAGAAAATTAAGGAGCCAGTGATTACGTTAACCATTTTCCTCCTTGGATCTCCACAGCTCATTCCTAAAACTGCTCAAGTCAGAAATTCTAAGGACTACAGTCTTCTCACATTTCTATAATTGACGATTCCATTCTGGTAATTGTTCTAAATAAAAACATTTTACATTATTCTTAAGTCATCTTTAATAGCAACATCCAGCCAAGCAAAAATCCCATTAACCTTGTCCAAAATGTATACCATATTTGACCTTAATGAAGAGCCTCCTAGGAAGTCCACTTTCTTCTGCTCTTGACCCTTAGTTCCTTCATACAATGCCAGTGTCAGCTTTTAAACCTAAAGCCCTTAGATGGCTTCCCAGCTCATCCAGTTCAAAGCAAAGCCTTTTTGTCTATGGGCTACTGAAACAAAATACCATCGACTGAGCAGCTTAATAGTTCTGGGTCACACAGTTCTGGGTCTAGAAAGTCCAAGATCAAGTAGGTTCTGTTCCTGGTCAAGACCAGTTGTCCACAAATGGCCCCTTTTCATGGTGTCCGCACATAGTGGAAGGGGAAATGAGCTTCCCTCCTAAAAGGGCACTA